ATTTAAAGTACTAAAAAAAGAGAAATCGAAACAAATAAAATTTAAATTAATTCTCCCTTAGCTAAGAGGACTTAATCGTCACAATGAAAAATATATATAAGTATATATATTGAATGCCTAAATAAAAAGGAATCTTCAGCATATAAATTGAACAATTATCAAATTAAAGTAAACTGAAAGTTAATAAAATAAAAATAAAATCAAATATCACTTGTCTCTTCAAACAATGTACTGGAATTCTCTCACCACACCAAGTGTATTCAAACTTTCAGCTTTAGGCTCAAAGATCTTCTACCAAACCTTCTCCAAATGGTGATTCGCAATGATTCCAGTACTCAAAAAAATAAAACGGAGAAATCCAGAAGTAAACGTAAAAATGAAAACGAAAAACGTAAAACGCAAAACCCTGAAACAAAAGCGTCCATGAAACAAATAATCAAATCTAAACTGAAAATACCTGGACTTACGCAAAGATATAGTGTGCGGTTTACTGTGTATCAAGAACACGTGCTTTGATCCCCTAAAGGGCACTTTTTCTGTTCACAATTTCCAAATAACGAACAAATGCCAGAAGAATTCAACGACCATCAAATGATCCCAATACTGGATAAGACTTATTCTTTTCGACAAAGCAAATTTCCATAAAAGAACGAGTATATAATTTGATGAAGGTCTCAACACGTCTCCTTTCTTAATGATAATTAATATCTGATCATTTTTCAGAAAAAAACACCAGCCAACTTTTTTTCAGTCAGGTTAACTTCCATCGTCTTACAAACAACACCACATGACAATCAGACCTACTTAACAGTAGGACGAAAGAGTACCCCTAACCTCACAAAACTAAACACTGATGAAAAGATGAACCTAAACAAAATTATAACGTTACGAGTTCAGAATAATAAGAAACGTTCCTGGTGGTGGTTGTGTTCGGGATAGGTTCCAGATAACTTCTGCACATACTTCGACTAATAATTTGTGCGTAATCAGTTCTGAACAAATCGGTTAAGATATTCCCCGCGAAAAAACCTTATAATATGTGATCAAGGTTTTCATCACAAAGAAAAAATTCTGAAAGATATGTTAATTTTATACTATAATATCTGCAGAAACCATTCAGAGAAGCCAACGAACTCTGAAACGACCCACGTTCGCAATTTATTACAGATACACATTCACCTTCCTTATAGAGACGCACAATTAGTGAAAAGATTACGCCAAATAGATGGCCTAGTGACTCCGAAGAGGAAGACCGCTTAACTGTTCACTAGTTAGGATATACGGAAGACGAATAATAATGATAATAATCAATACCCCAGGCAACGAACGTCGAAAATTCGCAACTACACACGTTTCGAGGCATAGATGCGAATAATTACCACATTGATCATTCATCGGATACGTACTCAATAGGTCTATCAAATTACCATTTATTGAATTTTTGACGTCGCCATGACAACCAGTTAATTATATACGGCAATATTTAGATAATCGTCATCGCTCAACTGAATATTTAACACTCAACTTCTGTAGGTCTAATTAGCAATTTCCTTTTATGCAAGAATGCGGCTACTACATAGGCATACTAATGAAAGAGAATAGTCTAATTTCCACTTATATATAAGCGTACAAGAGTTAACAATAAAGCTTTTTCAAAGGATAAATTTTTCAAATGAAGATTTTGAGTTTGTATGTAATCATTAATCACGTGAAGTAGAAAAAAGGGAAGGGTAAGGAGAAAATCACGAAATATATAATGGGAGTGAAGGTGAAGTGTGACTTCACGTGAATTTATTTTTTCGTTAAACACGCGATTTCTTTATTTTCAAAGCAGACAGAAAAATCTACCATCTAAATGTCTGGATATTTTTGCCAAGATGCTTGATTTTCCAGAAATTAATTGAATAACATCTGTAGTTGAATATAACATTTTTGACACACTTAATAATAAAAACATACAAGTGAATTTATGTATGCATGGCTGCCACAAGTGGAATGAGGGTTCCAAAATACTATCAAGTTTAGGACAACACCTCAGCGAAACGTATTCGGAAACTGATATTTCTACATGAGGCGAAATACGACTAGCATTTCATTTTATTATATATCATAACCAATATTTGCTTTTTCCTAGAATTTTCATTTCAAGGTTCTCAGCGACCACTAGAGTACCTGTATTAATTATTCTCTTTCTGAATTCAATGAAGATCTTGACATAATATATATTAACATAATTTCGCATGAATTTTCACGAACCTACACAAATATAGATTACATTTCTCCAATTTTCCAGTTAGTTATAGATATGTATAACTAAGAATTTAGATTCTTAGAAAAATTTCATTTTTAGTTGACGTTTCGCAACGAATTGTAGCTCTGCCGAAACTTTTGATTATTAATAAACAGTAAATATTAACTGTAAATAACATTTGAATATCCCCCGATGAAATTAATTGAACACTTCTTAACACTGGTGAATGCAAAGTAAAATAAACAACTCGAAATCACTCGTGACAAGAAACTGAAATTGAAGAATAATGAGTAATGAATAATAAATGAAACTGAAATCAAACGAATTCAAAAGATAAAAAATATCGAAAGATATATATAAGATATAATATCGAATATCAAAAGAACGAAAAGACGTTCATGTCTATACGAAGCTCGGAGGAATAAGATCACAAATATTTTCAAAAAACGAATCAATATAAACATCTCAAAATTTTTTTTCTGAAACGAATGTTACCTACAACTTTCGATACAAATTCGATGTAAAATTTTATACAGTATTCGTGAAATTAGTCCAATTAGACTCATGACAAGTAGTGGAAATCAATAAACAGAAATATTCTAAAAGTTATCTCTGAGTAATTCGATTTAAATATTTCACCATCGTTGGCCCTTTTCAGGTGAAGAACCTATAGTTCAGTATGGAAGGCCTTTGAGAATAACTCTTTGGTTGTTTTCATCTTTATCTCTCTATTGTTGTTTATAAATATTTATTCAGTCAAATTTGTTATTAAATCATATTCTTTTAGCGTCTGAAGAAGACGGTAACCTGACGAAAAAGTCACGTTATATGCAATTAAAGTGTAATCAATTTGAAGTGTACTTTGAAGTGTATTACTATTATTATTTGAATTGGTATTTGAAGTGAACTATAAAATTACTCTATTTGGCTTTTTGTAGACCTATTGTTGAATAGGGGTCAATTATTTGGTCACCTCATTATGAGAATAAATTGCAGAATAAATTTCTTTCACATATATCTTTCAGCAGGTCAATACCTCGTATAAATTTTTCGGCAACTTTTATTCGCACTCAATTAGGTATACAAACCTTGGCTTCAAGAAGAATTATATTTGATTTGGTCTTTCTGTTCAAATGTTTGAATAATTTAATACATTCTATTGAACTGCTTGGTCAAATTGGCTTTCAGGTTCCTTTCAGAAGAACTAGAACTGACAATGTATTTGCGTACTCCAGCTGTCGTACCGTTTGACCAATGCACCAATTTACAGAATATTATAATATATTAATCGCTATGTAAATGCTGACCTATGTTTTTGTACATCACTTAGGCAGTTTCGCTGTGTAATTAAGGACTTTTTTAACTAAATTTGAGTATTATATGTATTTTCTTTTTTGTAAATGGGCTTTTCCGTATGTAAATAGATAAACCAAAAATAAATAAGTGTTTGAATCATCCTATACTTAGTCATTACAATATAATATTAAATTAAATAAATCTCTTAGCTTAATGTTTCACGTTTATATTTAACATGTTGACAAATTTAGTTTCAAGACTAAAAATATTCATCTAAAAAATCATATTTAGTCTTGAAAATGAGCTCACGCCCGAAACATGTTGACAAATTCATGTTGTTAAATATAATTCTGGAACATTAAGCCAAGAGTTTAATTTAATTTAATATTCAATTATGTTTCATCAAGAGTTAAGCGAGAATTCAATCTCAGTCATTACAATATAAGTCACATATTTTGTAGAAATTGCTAATTCGTAAACCTTCAACTGAGAAAGAGACATGAAACGGAAATGTAGCCTTGAACCCAGGGCACACTATTCTCATGCTAACCGCATGTGAAAGAATGGGAGAAGAAACAATTGCTATAGATATGAAGATAGCGGGCCAGGGCCTGCTTTTCAAACATCAACTACAAACGCTACACAAACGAGACGATTCTCGACCTATTTCGAAAAATACTCTGCATAAGATTTATAATGATCTCTTCAGGTATACTTTACAGAGCAATAAAACTTCAAAGGTGAACGTTCGAACATTATATTTCATGAAATCATCAAAACAAGCAAAGGATGTTGTTTGATGACTTTTGGAGAAGTTGGGTAACTCGAAAAGTGAAAAACATATCGATACCATCATTCTAATACTATGTATCACAAAAATCTTAATTTTACAGGAGATTGAAAAACTGTTTTTTTTATATTTTTTTTTATTTTAAGCAATGTTATTGTTTATTTATTTATAAAAACAGCTTTTTATTTCTATTTAAGAGATATTTGCCTTAAAAACAGTGTATTTACATTAATTAAGTTGAATACGTGGTATCAGAACCTCAAATTCTTCCAATTAATCCTCCCATACGTGGTATTACCGGGAATAATGAATTAGCATACAATCATGATAATTATTGAAGTTTATTTTGTTTATTTTAATAAATTATCATTAAATTTGTTTTTATGTTAATTAATTTATCTTACATAAACTTACATACGTGTTATCTTACGTAATTTATCTTACATAAAAGGTAAAAAACAAAGAAATGTAAAATGTGAAACGATAAAATGTAAAATAAAATTAATTGAGATGATAAAAATGATATAACTTTTTTTTTTAATTCGGTGGACCTTATGCTGTTTAACGCCGGTTTCGAACGGCCCATGCGCTTCTTGTCAATGTACATTACCCAGTAATTATCATCATTAAGCTACTTAAATCGTAGACAATTACACATACCTATGCCTTCACCGGGACTCGAACCCGAATCCTACCTCACCATAGCCGAGTGTTTTCCCGACTAAGCTACGGGAGCCTGCTACATATTACTTATATTGTGAACAAGTTTTCAGATAAAAAAAAATTTTGAGGAAAACAAAGTGATTAATTTGAAATACACCTTTCAATATAATGGTTGGCTCTTCATGTCATCGCTAAATAAGTTTTCCTGTTTTCTTACTTGTTGGGCAATGCCGGCAAGTATTGGTCACAACTAATTTATTTCTAGGAATAAATCATAAGAGGATGAACTAAAAAGTTCAGTAGGACAAAATGAAACCTTGAAATATTTATATATTAATGTAACGTTTTGCAACAAAGTATAGATATTTGAATATAACTTAAATTCAAACACTTGAACTTATGATTTACACTTTATTGACTACATAGCATGACGCGTTTAGTCGTTACAAACGACTTATTCAGATGCTTACAGAATAATGATAATGATATTATTCTGTAAGCATCTGAAGAAGTCGTTTGTAACGACGAAACGCGTCATGCTATGTAGTCAATAATGTGTAAATCATAAGTTCAAGTGTTTGAATTTAAGTTATATTCAATTATAATGGATTTACATCAAGTAAACGCCAACACTATTAAATATTTAAAATATAGATACATATGTTAATAATGATAATGATATTATTCTGTAAGCATCTGAAGAAGTCGTTTGTAACGACGAAACGCGTCATGCTATGTAGTCAATAAAGTGTAAATCATAAGTTCAAGTGTTTGAATTTAAGTTATATTCAATTATAATGGATTTACATCAAGTAAACGCCAACACTATTAAATATTTAAAATATAGATACATATGTTGAAGCTTTCAAGTGCAATAATTTTAACTGATCGACATTAAAATGTGTCGAAAACAAAATCATATATAACTAGCTATACTAGTTACTTCGTTTCTTATAAGAACAAAAAAAGAAACAAAAGCTAGCGAGTCAAAACAAAAATTTGACTCGCTAGTTTCCTTGTTATATCAGGGGAAATGTAATCAGTATTGTCTTGGTTATTTATATTTATCTTCTTAGACATGAGAATATATTTGAATGGCACAGGGGAAAAATATGCAATGTCACATTTTTATATTTTTTCAACTGGCAATGCAATTTTATTGTACAATCGAGTTAGAACGATATGCCAAAACACACTTTGCAATACCATGCACAGTCACTGAGTAATCTTCATTGAAAAATATTGATACAGTGCGAACAGGAAAAAACAAGCATTGTCCATGGTCGGTGATTTGACGTTTACGTTTGAATTTTTGAGGTTATTACGTTCATCTGTTGTGTTGTTCGGCTTGTGTTTTATTTAATTGAAATATAATTCAGTTCTTTTTTCGTATTACTTCGAAAATGTCGTTGCAAGACGAGGAAGACGGTGTTAATCTATAGCAGTCTACCAAAAAACGTAAACTTTACGGTCGAATGTCGGATATTAACAAGAAGATTCGTATCATATAAATCATAATATTTCAGATAATATAGTATAAGAAATAATCATATTTCTTCTGTTACCCAGAAACAATAGCAAAAAAAGGATCTTATGAAGCATGTTCCTTTCTTCATCACTATATCTTTAATATGCTTGACATAAATACTCGAGAACTGGTGATATTCTGTGATTCTTGCGGTGGACAAAAACTATACCGTGTTTCGTTTTATACACTATGTTTGTTGTACACAATACAAAGCGTTTGGATGTCATCAAAATAATATTTCCCATTCGCGGGCACTCATACTTAGAATGTGACAGAAATATGGGTTGCATAAACCACAAATCACCCTGCGAAACACCTGATGCCTGGATAAAAGTGATTTGTGAAGTTAGACAGAAGCCATCCCCCTTTCAAGTGATTGAACTTGATCAACCACTTGTCAGACAATGGACAACATTTTTGTCACCTATGTAAGAAGGCATGCCCATTCTTATCTCGACCTATAAGAGAAATCAGGGTTGAAAAGGATCACCATAGATTTATTTTTCATAGAGAACATTACAATTCCGCTTGGACGTCATCTGTTCTCATGGGACCTAAAAAAATTTTGAAGAACTCCTCTCATACCGTTGGTGTCTCAGAGTTTTCACTGCCAGAACAATCATATAATGAGAGCCTACCAGTTTCAAAGGCAAAATTCATGGATATCCAGGCCTTGTCAAAGTTTTGTGGACCAAGAGCTAAGCAATATTTCTCACAATTAAAATATAATATTGCTTAAACATTATCGATTTCTCGGACATTACATATTTTTTTCCTGTATTTTATGACAATTTTGTGGACATTGCATATTTTATTCCTGTATTTTCTGACTTTGTTCACTTTTTTCTCTCAACTCAATAAATACAACCAAGAAAGGTTTTTTTATACTGTAAACGTAAAACAAATATGTTTTCTTTATATATTATATATTTCCGTTTTATTTCAGGCTTTAATGTACCTTTTTTCAAGGATGTGTCCTTCATTTGAAAAACTCATTGAATATCAGAGGGTAAAGTTTTCTTCTTAATTTTCAAGATTCTGAAGTTAATTCAGTCAAAGAATTACCGACAACACACACTGAATGGAGTTAATTTCTTTATTTCAAACGCCTACCCATTTCTAATCATCTACTTAATTGCTTCATTTACCGTTTACGGACCAACGTCTTCCTTTCAGAGCCTTTAAGTGCATAATTAAGATGGTGCTGATGATGACAAACTTTTACGTCGGTATTCTGGACCTCTTATGAGATATCATTTAATCCATTGAACGCCCTAAAAATATTGGGAACTCTAGAATATAGCGCATTTTCGAATATTTTATGTTCGAAACGTTTATCTGGGTAAGAACATTGAAAAATAACGCTGTCTCTTCTGTCTCAAAAATCACAATATGGCCCGCTAACAGATTGTAAATGACCCAACTGAGCAACTCACTTTCTTGTGAAAATGTGTCACTATCAACAGAAACAAGGGATGCGTGCGGGTTTCCAGGGTCAGGTTATCGGCTTTCATCAAGGAGAAGGAAAATTAATACATTTCTCGAAATTAATGATTAAAAGGCTTCAATAACCTGTTTGACCTTGGCGTGACTTCTAAAAACAATTTTTCGAGTATTCAATATACTGCGTTATTTTTGAATGGGCAATACAAGCATTTCTTCATTAGAATCAATCGATATTATTATTATTGAGTCTTCATTAACGATCTGAAAAATTATTGAAAAAAACAAATTCGAAAATTGAGTAACTACTTAACGGTGACTATATTATTAATCGATTGGGCCGATACTTGATGAAAATCTAAATACATAATTTGAATAAAACTAAGTTGTTTTCCTATTTTCACTATAGTTAAGTTAAAATATAACAATATTGTTTCCCTAACACAGTAGCTTCATCAGACCATCTTTATTCTGAATTGTGTGCAATGACCATAGAATACTTTTCTTCGATTGCCTTTTACTGAAATAAAAATAATAAAGGAGAATTATTAATTGAAAGTTGATCATTTAATAAATGAATTATTCGATTTCTTCCTCTTATTAATTTCAATGGCTTCTAATAAGGTTAGTTTATAACCTCTTCGTTCCGTATGCAATATTTTGAAGTTGTTGTTGAAGACATTGAAGCGATTTTAACAATAGCTTTGAAAATCCCGAATACCGTGGATACGCACATCTGAAATGCGAAAGATAAAGTTTCGTCTGATGATAAACCGGGTATGCATGAGTTGAGTTGCGATACCTGTCCCAGAGTATATATTGGTCAAACTGGCAGGAATTTCAGACTTAGAATATGTATACAGTTGGGATAAGTTAAATCATAGACAAACACAAACACCCATACCTTCAGCGGGGCTCGAACCAGTGTCGTACCGCACCATAGTCCGGTGTTCTCCCGACTAAGCCACTGAGACCTGTTTGAGACTGAGACCTGTGTATACAACAAAGATGCTTTGAAAAAATAAAACCGATTCTTCGTATGCAACATATGTTATAGAAAAGAACCATGACTTCAAGAACAACTTCAAAATATTGCATACAGAACGAAAAGGTCATAAATTAACTCTGTTACGAGTCATGGAACTTAATAAGGGGAAGATGTCGAATAGTTTATTAATTATTAATCAATAATTCTCCTTTATTAAATTTATTCCAGTAAAAGTCAATCGAAGAAAAGTATTCTATGGTAATTCCCCACACTTCAGAGGAAATATGTTCTATGGTGATTCTCCTACTTTAGAAGAAAAAGTGTTCTATGGTTATTTCCATACACTTCAGGATAAATGCTGGCAGTCCACAATGTATTAGCTCAGTTTATCATCTACAACTGTTAAAGCCACTTTGTTGGCGAAACAATCTTGTTATGTTTTAACTTAATTATAGTGAAAATCGGAAAACTACTTAGTTTGATTCAAATTATATGACTATATTATTCTATTATTTTATACTCACTTGACGAGTAAAGTATCAAGTTGGTAATAATCAAGTATTGGAATTTATGAACTTTATTATTTTCTCAAATTTGGTCTTCTCAGAAGCAAAGAGAATATTGCGTCTTCTATAATTTTGGAAGTGATAATATCAATCTCAACCATTTATTCAAGCATACATCATACCTATGTATGTAACTATATAAATACTAGTGAAATCAAGTACATAACTACCTACCTGGCAACAAAAATTTTTTTTTTAAAAACCTTTTTAAAAAGTATAATAACTGATACTTATATATTTTTATGTGCTGAATCAATAACTACCTCAGTTTTTTTGTATTATCCATACTTTGCCAGCAATATTCTCTGTATTAAGTAGACATTAAAGACCACTATGCGGTATTGAGGACATTAATGAAACACTATGTTACATTTTGTAACAAAGTGTACATTTTGTATGCATGTATTTACAGGGAATACTTGAAACAGTGATATAATGTGATAATAGAGGTTACATTTGTCAACTGGAATTAGTGAATAAACTTCTTTACCTTTCTTCTTTGAAGCTTTTTCTACGATGGTCGACTTATCGGTGAAGTGATTAACACT